AAACTGCTAGTCTGCTCAGTTGATTCTGGAGAGCAAATTAATTAATGTTGCATACATTTTTATTCTGTTAATTAATATAGTTYTGAGAATAGGGAAGAAGTGAAAACAAGCTACCCACTGGCCTAGTCAGGGATATCTACACTGTAGACTATATCCAGAAAATTACAATTAAATTCATTAATTCTATAATATATTTTTAGGTATCATCAAGSTCTTACAATGGAGGGAATCTTGTCAACATTCTTTGGCATTGAGTCCAATGCTCAGAATGATTACAACGATCCTGCATTCAAGGCAGCACGAGAAAGCTTCCGAAGAGGAGCTTGGCAAAGAATTCTTCTTTTTTTCTTGCTTCTTATGCCTGGTGGTTCATACATTCTGAACCTGTTTCCATCCCTTGTCATTGGTCAATTTATGGGAATTTTTTCCTTGACAAACAAGATTATTGAGGCAAGAAAAAGGAGTGGTCAAAAAAACAGCAAGGTAATTAAATTGTTAAGAGTAGTGAGGGGCTGTGGAGGGGGGGCACCCAGAATAAAAAATGTAAAATAAAAAAAACACGAAAATAGAAACAAACCAATGGAAAAGAAAAACATTTCTATTCATTTTTATTCCTTCAATTTGATTTCTAATATTTTACTTTTTCTTTAATATTGGTTTGACCATTAAGTTATTGTCAATTTATATCAAATTAATTAACTAATTATACAACTTCTCATTAATCCCATACAGGTAACTGTCCAATTATTTTTTTAATTGGACAGGTCTTGTTGATATGGGATTAATTAGGCAGCTATATAATTAATAGGTAATGGGATTTCATGCTCCCCAACCAAGAAATAATTAGACTTGAAAAATTCCTCTGACTGCCAAATTGGACTTGGCCTACGGCATCATCCAATTTTGTCAGTCCTGAATTTTCTTCGTCCAATTATTTCATAATTGGACAGCACGGAGTCCTATTACATATACTAATTAATTATCAAAGATTTTAGGAGGCAATTGCCCCCCTCCCCTTNTTCCTTCAATTTGATTTCTAATATTTTACTTTTTCTTTAATATTGGTTTGATCATTAATTTATTGTCAATTTATATCAAATTAATTAACTAATTAATTATCAAAGATTTTAGGAGGCAATTGCCCCCCTCCCCTTGTCCCCTGCATGCCTTGCTATGTCACTGTAGCAGCTGATACAATGAAGGATGGGCAGTAGTATGTGGACTCTAGGATTTTCTTAAAGAGGGGTTTTTGTAATCAAGGGGCATCCACCTGTAAAARATGCTGAACTAAAAAGAAAAAAAAAGAAAGGCACATTCTGTTTTGAAGATGAAATTAAATCTTGGTTTGGGTTTGCATCACCCACAACCCTTCCCCTAGTCCCCACCCCCTTGGACTCAGGATCTTATGTACATTGGAGGAGAGGAGTGCCTACTGTCATTAAATGCTTTTAAAAGAAGGGTAAAGACTGAATCGTTTGGTAGATATTGTTTAAAAAATGTCAATAAAGACCTGTTTGATTTGTATCAAGGGATATATCTAGCCTTCTCTTCCTCATTTCTTAATGCGCGTACCCCTTATAATATGTGATGGAAAAGCGATAGTCCAAGCTAGTAATTTTTGAGGGAAAACTTAGGTGCTTGGCCTTGGAATTGTGGTGATTGCAAAACATCAATAGTGCTGTAATTACTAGCTATATGTGTAAGATTTCTTCCTTATCTTTTACAGGACTTCCTTGACTTGATGTTGACAAACGCGACAAACGAGAGCCTGCCAGAAAACAAGAGATTGACCGAAGATGAGGTAATCGCTCAAAGCATKGTGTTTCTGTTTGCGGGGTATGAAACGACCAGTAACGCTCTGGCCATGGTTTGTCATAATCTCATCGCTAACCCTGATGTCCAGGAAAAGTTACAGGAGGAAATCGATGACGTGTGGATTGACAAAGATCAGCCACCATCATACGAAGTCGTTCAGTCATTACCTTACCTTGATATGGTRATCTCGGAAACACTTCGTATCTACCCACCAGGTATACTATCAAACTTGTCTTCTTATAACATTTCCTATTCAAATCCCATTTCATCTTATCCCATTTCCTTTGAGAGAAAAGAGGCTTACCTCGGAACTTGTTCAACTTATTCTTGTGAGACTGAGAAATTAGATCTAAAATAAAGTATCGTTGCTATCTTCAAAATCCTTGTTGCCGTGTTCGGGGGTTTGTGGGTTCACTCTACGATTTGGCGTCGCTCAGCTCATGTATTTCTCTTTTCTAATAGTTTTCGATTCATGGGCATTGCTCAGTCGTGTTTCTAAGATGACAAGCAAACAAGTTTTCACTTCTTTAAACTCTTATAGCTCYAAACAAGAGAATATTAAGTACTTACTTCATATTCTCTTGCTCTAAAAGAAAGGCGATCCCCTTTTCAATTCACATTTTGAAATTTCAGGAAAAACTAATAGAATCTGACGATGGGGTTCAATCGAAATCACATTTTTTGCTCATAATTGGAATAGAACTTTATAAATCGCGTTTACGCGCATTTGATCATAAACACATGCTAATTTGCGCGTTATAAGTAATAAATTATTATAATAATATTATTATAAATTGACGTGAAGGCTACGCCAGCGACGAGTCCTGTCCACTTTTTTAGCCCAATAACATTTCATAATGTTTCTGACCTTCAATATATAAATCCGATCTTCTTCCACTTTCTGACTTTGAATTCTGATTTCTTTAAGCGGTTGTTACTAGCAGAGAATGTAACAAAGACTGCGTGGTGAAAGGACTTCTCATCAAGAAAGGTACCGCAGTTCTAACCCTAATCTACAGTATTCATCATGACCCTCAATATTATCCTGACCCCGAGAAGTTTGACCCAGAACGCTTCAGTGCCGAGGCCAAGGCGTCACGTGATCCCTACACCTACCTTCCCTTTGGTCAAGGTCCACGTAATTGTATTGGGATGAGATTCGCTCAGATGGAGATGAAGCTCGCTTTGGTTCGCATCCTGAAGAGGTTCACTCTTGTGGTTGCACCAGAAACGAAGATCCCTCCCGTGATGAAGGTACAGACCCTCTTGGGATGTGCAGATGGAATACATCTTCGAGTTGAGCGTCGATAATAAGTTTTAAATTCGAATTTTTTTACAATTTTAACTCMCTGCATAAAAATAGTCTAAAATTTCCTAGAAAATGTCAGTCTGCATTTCGCTTTGAACGCAATTACGGCGCCGCAATACTAAGCACTAAACACTTTGCAAACTTTGGTCCTTCATAGCATCTAGATAATTGAAGTGGTTATCGTATGAGTGGGAAACATACACTGACTTACAACACGTACACGGTTACGGTACGACATGCCCCAACATTGAAATGGCTTCCTATTGGCTTCCAGTAGTTCATTCAATTACGACGTGTAGTTATCGCTAGGGTAAGATACGGTAAGGCTACAATACACACGCATGTTAGTTTCGAAACTCAGACTTTTTATCTCTCTATAATTAAACTTTTGTCCGCAAAGAAYAAACTGCTGGTTTTTGTATAATTAAAAAGAGAAGAGAAGAAAATAAAACTTAAATTTTATGTGGTGGTACGGGAAGTCGTTGCTGAGTCTCCCTAGCCAGAGGCTAATGCGGTTTAAGTACACACACTGAACTCTAAACTCACTTGTTGATTTTGGAGAAGGGCGGAAAACTGGAGAGCCCGCCGTAGAAAAACTTTCTTGGCAAGAAGAGAACAACTCGTCAAACAAACTATTTAGATTTGTCTCCGMAGGAATCGAACCCACGACCCGATCCATACGGTAGTACCCTGTAGGACTCGCCCAGGGGCAGATCCGGGGTGGGTTACTTGTCRTCCCCCTAGCCTCTTCTCCTATTAGCACGCGCAAACAAACACAATTTTATTACTGTACGGCATTTATTTGGATAACCTTTCACTCGGTTGACTCATAGTTAATAGAGGGGAATGGTTATGAAACCTATTGTTATATGTCTTTGTTCACTTTTTTCAAGCGTGACAGTGCACAATCCTTTGTTTTACCATTGTTTTACCATCGTTGGCAATGGCTGAGCGAACAGACCAAAATCTTTCTTTTGGCTGCTAGTTCAAAATACTTAAAGATTTATAAGAGATATTTGAATATTCCTTACACCAATCCCGTACACAAAGTTTATGTTTACTTATTTTGCTATTTCGGATGTACATAAATCAAACATTGTGCACCGTCAAGACCGGTTCAACATCAAAAGCGAACAAAGACCTGATAACAATAGGTTTCCTAACCATTCCCCTCTATTAACTATGGTTGACTTGAGCTCTTGAATTAAATTTCCGTTGACGCCATATTTTCACTTCCATGGCATGCTAGCAGAGTCTATTTTCTGTTTGGTTTTGGTGGAATGAGAAAAATAGACTCTGCCGATGTTGGATGTTATACTTGTCGCGTCTGCGTGGCGTAACTTAGCAACGCGCTGTCATGATTTTGACAGGCATTCTCGTCATTTGCTTACGKAGACTACATGTACCAGGGTTAAAAACCTTTTTTAAAACTGGTTTCGTTAGTCCATGTTTGTGGACGACGGTGTATCAAAGGAAATGCTCTACATCTCCCTCCTCCCCGCCTAAAAGAAGGGAGAGAAAGAGGAGAGACTCTGATAGGACTAGAARGGAATATTTTCATACGTTTCCCGCCTTTTTGTGTTTTCGCARGCGCTTGGGCAAAAAATAGATTTTTGACAAAACTGCTTAATGTCTTTGATCAAATCTCCCTCATAGTACCGACAAACTCACATTTTTGTCCAGAAGGCTCTCAATAGGTGGGCGTGCGAAATTCGTTTGGTTGATCGGTTAYGTGTATAAAATTGCCAAAAAAGCACACCAACGTTTATAAACATTACGTCATACATATATATACGACTCATTACGTCATACATGCATATAGACTAATTCTCTAGCTTGTGAATAGTCTCCCTTGCGCACGTCAAGGCTATAGATTTTCTCAGTCGTGGCTTTTATACCAGAACTCATCTAAAAATGYCTTTTTTGCAACCAATTCTGACCTTTATATCAGCTCACTGGCTCTCTATTTCTGTTATTACGATCGCTATATCGTTCTTTCTGTACAGAAAAGTTATCTATCCGTTCAAACGCTCTACCATCGTTGCTGCTGTTGGTAACCTTCCTGGACCGTATCCATTACCTCTCGTTGGAAACGCGCTCGACTTGTTTAAACACAAAGGACAGTTCGAGCTGTTGTTAGATGCGTATTATAAGAAGTATGGGAGTCTATTTACTATGATAATGTTCAGTACGAAACCTTCTGTCGTCGTTAATGACCTCGAAATGGCGAAGGAAATACTCGTCAAAGAGTTTCAAAGCTTCCATGATCGACCGGTGAGTAAATTTTCAAGGATTGAAGTTTTGAATACAGACTTAAAAATATCTCACAAATCCACTTATTGTATCGTCATTCATTAGACTCARTGCAGCCATTCTTATTAGTGTCGTCACGCAACGCTCCCTACAGACTATTAAACGGCTGCTTCATGTATATTCGAACAACAACCAATCAACTTTCGGGTTATATATTTAGAGCTGTTTTTCTCGTGGTAGATCTTTAATTCGGTGAAACTCGATGTTCTAAATTGAGTAGCCTCCTAAAGGCAAGTCCTAATTGCTGGTTTTCAATCAGTTCCAAGAGAATGAAGTAACAAAAGACACCGCGGCCATGTTGGATGATATTACAAAAGGGACTAAGGGACGGATGGGGGGTTGGGCAAAAAAAACCCAAAAAAATCGAGAACAGCTTTAAAGAGTGAAAAAAAAAAAAAATGTGCATAAGAAAAATGCCAGAAAAAAATTCCAAAAAAAATTCCTGCACAGTCATGAGGCATAAAAAAATTCCTGCACAAAATAAATTCCTCAACCCCCCCCCCCCCCCCCCCACCTCAAAAATCTAATGTTCCGTCCCTAATGACGAATCTTTTGTTAAATTCATCCAACATGGCAACTGTGAAAATCAATAGTGTCTGTCACGCAATGTTTCACAGACCGTATGGGACTTCTATGTAGAAGGCTACTGATTAAGTCCACTTTTCCTGATCCTTTTGCTTCTTCTGATGACAGACGCATGTACCATTTGTGGAAAGTCAAAGTTTGCTGCTCTTCTCTTACCATTAGCAAAAGAAATTCCAACCGGATAAATATTAGTTTGATAGTAAGCACCTAAAATATTCCAATTTTAATATTTGGCATGTTTCTACATATCTCCATCTCCCAGACTTATTCATTTCTATCTTTCTTCTTTCCCCCAGGTTATTTTAAGTTTGCCCAAGCCATTTGATAGCATGATGACTACTGCTGTTGGAGAAACATGGCATCGCATCCGTACCACACTCTCCCCAACATTCAGTGCTCATAAAATGAAACTGATGATTCCRYTGATAAACAARTCATGTGACCTACTGGAGAAGAAGCTGGATCAAGTGGCAGGGACTGGAGAGACAATTGATATTTACAAGTGAGTATAATCAATTCCACCTCTATAAATTATTGTACTGGGACAATAAAGGCGAAGTCCTTTCTTATCTCAGTATTCTCTACTTTCACATCCCCACAATGCCTTGCGTCTTTGGGGGGTAACCAATCAAAAAACTGTCCCAAATTGAAAGGTTTCTTAATTGAATTTATACTATAACTGCTTTTATCTGTACAATGCTGATTATCAGTTTATTTGAAGTTATTTTTGCATGTACAGATAATGAAGAGTTTTGGTCTTACAGAAAATGTATTGACTTACGAAAAAATGTTTAAATTTACCTTAAACGTCTTCAAGCTTCTATCTTTTTCTGTTTTTTACTTCTTCATTTTATTTTTGGATACCAAACAAGGTATTGTCAAYATTGTCTGATCAGCCTTCAGCAAAATAAGTGTGTTTTTATCCTCTGGTTACCCCCCAAAGATGCAAAGTATTATGGGGATGTGAAAGTAGAGAATTTCAAAATTATTTCATGTCTTGACATTCTAAGCCCCCCCACCCCCGACTCAATTTGGTTTGCCTCCATCAAGGTTATTAAACTGTTGATAATCAGGGGGATGCAGGAATTAGAGAAAGGTAGGAGGGGCAGAAAACTTCAGTATTAAAGAAACCTTTTGACGGATCAAAATAAAAAGGGGGGCAACAGGGCCCCCCTTAAAATAACTCCACCCATGAAGGGAGTGAAGTTTTTGCAGGTTGCTATGGTGACACTGATTTTCATAGACATTTACCATTGTAGTTCTGATGATCATACAATTTAATGACCTGGCATTCAAAGAATTTTTTATATGATTTAAAAAAAAAAGATATTTTCAAGGTCTTACAATGGAGGGAATGTTAGCAACATTCTTCGGTATCGAGTCCAATGCTCAGAATGATTACAATGACCCAGCATTCAAGGCAGCACGACAGAGTCTTGAGCAAGGCGGTTTTCAAAAAGCACTCATCTTTTTTCTGTTCACTATTCCTGGTGGCTTGAAGATTATGGAGTGGTTTCCAAGTATTATTGTCAGCCATATGAGGAACATTGTTTCTTTGTCAAACAAAATTATTGAAGCCAGAAAGAAAAGTGAGCAAAGGAATGTTAAGGTAATTCAGAGACTGCAGTTTCATTGCCATTTTCACAATATTGTCCAATTTCACTATGATGTCACTGCTTCAATGTTTATTAATGGCGACAGAATAATAAAGGATGATAATAATTTTACTCTGCAACTACGTACATTGATTGATAGCTCTGATATGTTTGCAGTTTTTAACATTTTATAAGYTGTCGATGTACTATGATATATACTGTATTTGGTATACATTACACTTTTGACCCCTCGGTCTTATAATTAGCATCAATGATTAACCATTTCAATCAATCATGTTTTTTCAATTTGGTGTCCATGTTCTCCTTCCATATTTTTAGAGAAAAGTTNTTCAATTTGGTGTCCATGTTCTCCTTCCATATTTTTAGAGAAAAGTTATTGACTTTCATTGTAAAACATCTTTATATGCAGAGTCACTTAAAGTGTTTCTATTAAGCAATAGAAAACTTTTTCCGTGTTTACATAGCCTAATAGCAACACGAGGGGAGGTTGGGAGAATTCGAGACAGTTATGCAAACCCGAGACGTAGTCGAGGGTTTGCATAACTGCCGAGAATTCTCCCAACCCTATCAGGCTATCAGGCTATGTAAACACAGAGAGAAAAGTTTTCTATTGCTTTTATAAAATAAATACTAAGGGAAAACATTACCACTTGCTAGAAAATAAATCTTAATTTGAATTTGATTTTCATTTCAAAATACAAATTCTCAATACATCACAAACTTCGATCGTTAGCCAATCAAATTTCGTGTAATAATTACGCCAAGTAGGGAATGTGAAGCGAGAAAGAATCGCTAGCTATTTTAAACATTTATCATTCTAAAACTTTAAAACAAATACAAAGAAATGTTCAAAGATTGAAAAGAAATCATAATAAAAGATTTCAGAATTGATTATCTTTACGAAAGTGATCAAAAGTAGATAACAAGTGTCACTGTGAATGGAATTTTCGGTTGAAAGAAACGTGGTTTTGCTCAATTTGACAGCCAGAAAACATGGCAGCGAAGTTGATTGTTTCGTCTTGCCTCGTGAAGATATTTTGTGGAGCTGAAGAGCTATCGCTGGAAAAAGTTTGAAGCTGCTGACTGTTTCCTTGAAATATTTGTATTCTTTATCAGGCGGTGCATTTAAATCATCAGAAAGCACGTCGCTGAACAACCGAAGCTGTCCTGATGGAGGACGTGTGTTGTAGCTTCCTGAGGGAATTCTCTTTGCGGTGACCAACGAGAGATTGTCATGATATTACGRTCAGAAAGACCTGCATGAGACCATAGGGTTATGCCTGTGGCCCTGACACAAGTCAAAATTTGGAACTTCGTCTTCAAAATACATTTTTGGGGGCGTTTTTTTCCTCGAAAGAAACTGTAAATTTTTAATTTTTGAACGTCACAACTGTGTTTACATACCCTCATGCAAACATGGCTATCAACCAATCACAGCGTACGTACTATTTAATTTATTTTATAATGTCAGATATTGTCAGTAAGCACAGAGCTTTCAATCACATCATAGAAATGTCCTTAATTGAAATGCACCAAATTAAAACCAACCTACTTCTTTCGCAACGACAACCACCCGATGTCTTAAGAGGGAGTGTATTGTTCATATTGCTTTTTCTTCTTTAAAGGACTTCCTTGACTTGATGTTGACAAGCACAGAAAACGAAAGCTTACCAGAAAACAAAAGACTAACAGAAGATGAAGTGATTGCCCAGAGTATTATATTTTTGATGGCTGGATATGATACAACTAGTAACACTCTGGCCATGGTTTGTCATAACCTCATCACTAACCCAGATGTCCAGGAAAAGTTACAGGAGGAAATCGATAAAGTGTGGAGTGATGAAGATCAGCCACCATCATACGAAGYCGTTCAGTCRTTACCTTACCTTGATATGGTGATCTCGGAAACRCTTCGTCTCTACCCACCAGGTACCTTAAAAGCACTTAAAAAAATAATTCACCACTGAGTGCTTGCATTTCTCTTTTGTGAAATTCCA